GCAGCTCAGCTCAGGCCAGGAATCGAACCGGCAACCCTGTTGCTCAGAGCTCGCACTCTTGAGCAAGCTCTTAACCAACTGAGCCACTTGGCCAGCCCTAGGACCTGAGCATATTAAAATGCTGAGAAGGAGGGGAAACATTGAAGGTCCATGAACGAGAGAGGGCGTTTCATGGAGCTAGGTTCAAGGGAAGGACCACAGCCCTGGGAAGGATTAATATTTGACTATATGAAAGAAGGAAGACGTGGTTGCAGTTGCATGGTGGTTTATAGGTGGAGTTTTGGGAACGAGATCAGACAGGTTATCTGCTTAGAATGAAAGAAGGAAGGAGGAGGGGTCAAAGGGTGGCAGAGGAGCAGTGTCATGGGTTCGAACCCCTGTGTGGACAGAGATGTGCTGTGGCTTAACGCGCAGTAGCCTGGAGCTGGTAGGGAAGTGCCTGCTGCCGTGAGCCACAAAGGAACAGGGTGTTTTCCAAGCATGACCAAGGGGTGATGGTATGGAAGTGAGGAGCATGCTGACTTTACCTGGTGATGGTGAGGTCAGCGGAATGGGGCTGCCCTGTGGCAGTGGCAGTTCCCTCAGAAGAGCTGCATTTTCCTGGAGACAGAAGGTGAAGAGACCATTAGTGAAGGGTGGGTGTTTCTGTTTGGAAAGGATGTTCTAGAGGGCACGGTGGAGAGGTTTGGAGGGGAGGAAAGCCGGTGTGTGTGTGTGGGGGGTGGATCAGAGGAGAGAAGTTGGTCATATGGAGATGAAGTTACAGGAAGGCTAACTGTCTAGAGAAGTTTCTATCTTAGAGAAGGAGTTTCACTGGGTCCAAGGATTGGAGGCATGGTGGCAATCCGAAGGTGCCCAAAGTAATTAGTGCCCAGTTAGATGGGGTTTCCGCCGGGACACAGTGTGTGTGTTTGCAGTGGTCTCAGTTCTGAGGGTCCTCTCTGATGGATGAGTGTCAAGACCTCAGCCTTAGACGATTTGGGCTGATGGGAGCCGATCGGTGCTGAGACTGGTAGTGGGGGTGGTGCTGGGTTTAGTAGCCACGCGCTGCTCTGATGAGCACTTGTCTGCCACCACCCGTGTCCTAAGTCCTCATCTTCCTTTCCTTTAATCTGTGCTAGTCCGCCAGCAGGTCTTTCTTCCATTTCTTACAACTCGGACAGTCCCTTTTTTCTGTTAGATTAATTTTGTTCAAACCCTGCCTTTGTCACATTCAGCCAGTAGTAATTTATTATGGTATACTGGATCAAGTCAGACCAAGTTTCCAGAGTCTTCCATGGTCTGAATCCACCTTACGTCAGTTCCTGCTACCAGCACTCATTGAGACCGTGGCCTCCAAGCCAGGTCTCTTACTGTCACCCACAAGCACACACCGTCAGACTTGTCTGTCACTTTATCGTGTGTGCTTCCTGTCTCTCTTTGTCCAGTTTTACTCCTGTAAGGCTCAGCTTAAGTCCTGCTTTCTGTGTGATCTCTCTGCCCTGGCCGTGGCCTGTACTCTTCCTGCTCTAACTTATGATATTTATTGTCCTGCAGAAATGTGATTCGTGTGTGTAAGCGATCAGCCTAGCGCGATCAGTCATGCTCTGCTTTTCAAGAACCATCCTGTGCCTTGAATCTCCAGCGTGTCACCTGTGGAAGGCCACCCTCCTTCCCTGAGGACCGCGACCCCGGGTCTCTTCCTTCCCCAGGACCTGTCTTGGTTACTGCCTCTCCTTTCTCACCCATCTCTTTGCCTTACTGGGTCATCCCACAGCAGTGAAATATTCTCAACAGCTCCCGTCTTTCAAAACAACAGCTAACCTTGCTCTACCCACATTCTCCCCTCGCTTCTGTCCCATGTTTCTGCTCCCCGCCAGGGCAAACTGGAGCGGAGCTGTCCTTACTCCCGCACCTCGCTTACCTTCAGTTTGCTCTCTTCTGGAGTTCATCCCTACAACTCCCTGAAAACGTGCTTGAGGACACCAAGGGCCTGTCTGTTGTCAGATCCCGGTGGACACTTGGCCACCTGCCCGCCCCTCAGCCCCTTCTGTAGTGAACCTCTTCTCGAAACGCTTTCCTGTCTAGGCTTCCGAGACCCCTCCGTCTGGTCTTCTTCCCACCTTACTAACCCCTCCTCCTTCGTCTCTTCAGCCTCTTGTCATTATCTGGACACTCTGACTCGGCCACAGCATTCAGTCCCGTCTCTAGTCTGTTCTCTCTTCCCACTCTGTAAAGGCTGGGGCGCCCCAGAGTTCTTGTTCCCCGAAATACTGGGGCTTTGAATAGTGTGTATCTGCTAAGGACTCCCAAACCTCAGGTTTCTGTATCCAGCTGCTGCTTGGTGTTTCCACGTGGGTGCCTGATGGGTGTCTTGCACTTACATCTAAGAGTTGAACATTCGAGTGTACACTCACACACACACTCACACTTACACTCACGCCTCCCTCCCCATTCCTGTCCTTACACTGCAGTGAGTGGTCCCCGCAGAAACGTAGCCATCATCCTTACTACTCTCTTGTTCCTATTTTTTTAATTTTGGATTTGGGGGATGGGAACAGCGCTGGGGAATTGGGGAGAGGGGAACAGACAAGATGCTGTCGTTTTGTTCTTCAGTCTAGTTGTGGAGGTCGCCACCCCACTGGCCCAAGTTGGCACCATCATTGCACTCCTCCTGGGCAAGGCAGATCAATCGCCGGCTTCTGGACGGCCGCTCACGCTGGCTGCTGGCTACACACCGTAGCCCATGGCAACCCACTGCAGCAGGGGCTGCAGCGTACGCCATCGCCGGCGACTCATGGCATCCCAGCTCCAGGTTGAGCTGTTGTTCAGCATCTTAGCTGTAGAGGGCAGTGTCACTGGCTCTCATATGTGGGATCCGAACTGGGGCCCTCTGGCGTCCCAAACCAGTTCTTAACCAACGCGCCACTCGGCTGGCCCCTCTTGTTCCCATTTTAACATCCGGTTTGTTGGCAAGTGACTTCTGTCATTTCTGCTCCCAGAAAATCCAATCATGTCTCCCACTCCACTGCCATATCCTTGTCTAAGCCACCACGATGTCCCCCCTGGACCACTGCAGTAGCTTCCTAACTGATCTCTGCTTTTCTTCTCATTCTACAATCCACTCTCCACCATGGAGCCTTTCTGATCTTGGAAAATCATCAGGTCATTTCGTTCCCTGCTTCAGTATTTTCCTTGGCACTAGACTAAAATCCCCACTCCTGGTGATGGCGTCCAAGGGCAGTGTGTAATTCCTTTCTGATGCCTCTCCGGCCTCTTCTTAGATCATCTCCCCTTTGCTCATGCGCTGGGGACACACTGGCCTCCTTTCTGTGCTCGGGCTCATCAAGGTCTGTCCCACTTCAGGGCCTTCGATGTGCTCCTTCCTCTGTCAGGAACTTGCCTGCCGCTGGTTGCATTTCATCCATCAGGTCTCTTCCAATGTCACCTTTCCTGACCACAGTATTAAGAATGCCCCTAGTTACTCCTGTTACTTACCTACCTCCCCTTCCAGCCAATGTAAGTTGCTAAAGGCAGGGACCTCCTCATTCTTGGTGGCCGCTGTATCAACACCTAGCACAGGGCCTGGGACTCAGTAGGTCCTGACATATTTGCTGAATGAACGATGATTGTTCTTTGTCGTGTTTTCTCATGAATCCTGTGCACTGAGCTCAGTGGAATGAAATATGTTTGGTTTCTCTGTCCAGTTCGAATTCTTGGGATCTCCTTAGCTGACTGAGAGCACATCTCCTATTGCTGACAGACGTGATGTTTTACCGGTTGCTGTCAGTGGTCCAAAGACAAAGAACCAGCCGAGGATGGCAGAAGTGGTACCCAGCCAGAAGCGGTGCGTCAGCTGCCGAGGCGCATTCTGTCGCCCTTCCTGCCCAGGCCCAGGTGGTCATCTGTGGTGGGGGAATCATGGGCACATCCGTGGCCTATCACCTCTCCAAGATGGGCTGGAAGGATATTGTCGTTTTGGAGCAGGGCAGGTAAGGACCCAACTGGACGAGTCGTGGGGCTACGCTGCGCTCATTATATGGGATCTCTCCTCTCCTCGCGTTTGGGTAATTTTGTCCCACCACTAGCTATTCAGTGTTGCTAAGTAGACCGAGAAGAATCACAGGTGAAAATCCTGTACTTTGTTTGGTTTAGCAAAGCCTGATACTCGTGTTTTCTCGTTTTTAGAGAGCTGGCAGATTCCAAGCAAACCGAGTCTCTGAAAGATGTATTTATTTCAGGTTCACAGCACATCTTATCATCTTGTTCTCTTTGTTGTAGTCATTCAGCAACATAAATCCTTAGGGCAAGAGCTTCTTCCTCTTGGAGCCGAAATGAAATTGGCTATATTCTGCCCTGTTTTCTATCCTTTTATTCATTTAATTAACTTATTTGGGAGCAGTTTTAGATCGATAGAACAATTAAGATAGTAGGAGTTCCCATCTCCCTCCCCCACTGTTTCACTTAAAGTAACACATTAGTGTTACTGTCTCATTAAAAAACAATATTCATACATTATTATTAACTAAACGTCATACTTTATTCAGATTGCCTTGCTTTTCCACTCGTGTCCTTTTTCTTTTTTTTTTATTATTTGTTTCAGGTGTACAAAACAATGCAATAGTTATCCTTTTCAGCCCTCACAAAGTGACAACCCCTCTCCCCCTCATCCACTGCCCTCCTACCCCCGATATCATACATATCACAATTCTATTGACTCCATTTCGTGTCCTTTTTCTGTTCCAGGTTTTTTATGGTCTATTGCCTTCCACAAATTGGACAGCATTTTAAAGATTTAATATTTATTTCTGAGTAGGCAGTACATTTATTGATTCAGAATGGAAAATTATAGAAGAGTGTACAGGGAAAGCTTCCCTCCTGTCTCTGACCTCTAGCCTCAAGTTTCCCTCGCTGGAGGGAAGTTAAGTTCTTTGTGTACCGTCCAGATACTCTCTACATACATAAGCGAGTGTGTGTTGGTCAGTATGACTATGTTTATGTGGGTGTTCATTAATTTTTTCCCTGTTGTAGACACGTGATAGCATTCCTTAAAACACTGTTCCTCACCTTGCTTTTCTCATTAGGATTGTTGCATACTGTTGCATAAAAATTGTCTCATTCCTTTTTTATAACTGTGTAGCATTCCATTGTGTAGGTGAACTCCAAAATGTGAAATCAGTGTCATGTCGATGGACACGTAGGTCGTTTCCATCTTTTGATTTTACAAACAAAGCTATAGCGAGGAACCTTGAACTTGGTGCATTCTAGCCTTCTGGATTTGTCCTGCAGGCTGGCAGCTGGCTCTACGAGGTTCTGTGCTGGCATCCTGAGCACTGCCAGGCACTTGAGCATCGAACAGAAGATGGCAGACTATTCAAACAAGCTCTACCATCAGTTAGAGCAGGAAACAGGGATCCAAACAGGTAAGCAGGTCACCAGCCTTTTACCAGTCTGCCTGTGCCCCAGACTCTTTTACTCAGTACTGTACCTGGTCCCAGATGAGTTTACCTGGTGATTGGTAATTCAGACTTGACTCGTGGTTCAGGCTCTGCCACCAAACAGGCAGGGTCTTACCGTGGGCAAGTCATTTAGCTTTTCAGCTGTCTTCAGTTTGTCTCGTTTTTGAAAGGAGGGGATTCAATCAGTATCCCAGATCCTTTTCAGAAGCCATAATTCTTGTGATATGAAAGTTTTCCGGGGCCATTTCCTATCTATTTTACTCACTGGGGTACAGTAAGTGCAGCACTTGGCCCCTGAATGAAGAGGAGGGGGAGGAGGAACTTAAATTTAGGAGCTTGATAGTGAAATTGTAGTTTGACCCACTGATCTTCACCAGTTACTATTAAGGATATTTCTGACTCCAAAGCATAAATATATTTGTCCGTATCTGTGTCATTAGGGGGAAAAGGACACAGGGAGTTGTAAGCTAACTAGCTCTGGAATAAGTAGGAACTGTCCAAGGAAAGGAAGACTAATCTATGCCACGGTTCCATGCGATCACAAGGTAGAAAGAATGGCTGTCATTTGTTGTAAGGGGATGGATTAGCCAGAAGCCCAAAGTCGAGCTTGCTCTTGTGGCTGATAGAAACGTTTGGGGAGCACACTAATTACCCTGAGAGGGTAGCAAGGCCCAGTGATGAAATTCCAGACATTTGCGTATGGGAGGGTTGCTCTTTTGAAGACCCTGCATAATTGAAATCACAGATAATTCAAGACTGATTGTTACAAAGGATGGTAGCTTTTTCTGTTTGCCAGCTAATGTGGCTCTGCCATGTGATCAGAGTGTAAGGATAGTGTATGGTTTACCTGGCCAGCCAATTTAGAAATTAAGTCACATATGACAACATTTTAAATCAGAAGGTGAGATTTGAATTATTTGAAATTTTGATCACAACATAAGGCTTTATAACACTTCCCTTTCTAATTAATACTTTCATGATGTGTAACCTTATTTGTAAAATACAGAATAAAGCTGAATGTCTAGTAACTAGGATTTAACAGACATGGAGGTGGAGACCAGAGATGCCAGGAGAGGAACTGGAAGGAAGAGGCTGTATATTCTGAGGCACATAAGCAGGGCCGGACCGGGTTGGGGCAAGCACGGCTCCTAGGCTGACGTTGCACTGTCACAGCACTGAGAGCGTGTGCCACCTTACACGGTGTGCCCTGGGCACTTGCTGGCCTCGCCCTGGCCCCTGCCTGCCTGGCATAGGAGCCTGACTCCCCATGGTGTCATTGAACTTGGCCAGGCTTCCTTCTGAGAAGCAAAGGCTGTGGAGTGAACACAGTACAAGTATTGGGTTGTCAGAAAAGTCATGATGTATTTTATCTATGTTTTTCGTTGCAAAAATGCATCATGACTTTTCCGACAACCCAATAATTCCTGCTGCTGCACTGTCTGGCTTTTACTGGGGAAGATGCCTGCCATAGGCAGGACAGGTAGGCAACAGTTCCTTTCTGTTGGATTTAATGATGGCAACAAGGTACTTGAATCAGGTATCAACCAGGGTTTGCGTCAGAAGAGGGTCCATATCATGGGACCAGAGATGGAACTGTGGACTTCAGGTCCAGTGGTTCAGATACTGATGCTTTGCTGAGCCTTGTGTCGCTCAGCTGGCTAGATTCCCAAGGAATCAGGGTCATAGGCTTCTTTACATTTTCTGTAAGGTAAGTTAGCTTAGGTCACCACCTGGAACCCTTATTGGGCCTGACTTCTCCTTGATGCTTGTGGGGCAGTGAGGGAGTCAGGCAAGGGAGAGTCAGGGGATCATCCTTAATCACTACCGAAAGACTCCAAGAGTCCTCATTGCACAAGTGTGTGAAGACTAGTGTCTGCAGTGCTTCAGTTTGCATGTGACATAACTTTTGTCAAGTGACTGAAATGGTAATTAAAGTTTCAATAATCTTTTGAAAGTATTCCATATATTATTTGATGTCATAATGAGGAAGGGTCATTTTTTTATAGATGAAGAAACCTAGGTGCAGCAACATTGAGCCTTTTTTTCAAGTCAGTGACAACTCAAAAATTCTGTAGTGGGTGCAGAGGAACATAAACAATGGTACTCTCCTGTATCTATTCTTTGGTAGTGAGTAGAAAATAACTGCCAAAGCCTTTGTTTGAATTTCAGAGTGTGATTAGCCCACAAATCACTCATCTAAACTCCTACTACTTTGAAAAGCCTGTCTGCAATTTCAGTTCTCCAAGCTGAGACATCCTTGTCATGTCAATGAAGAGCATATTTATCTGATGATTTCAAAAGAAATTAAAAAAATAAATTATTCTCATTGTACTTCCTTTGGAAAAGATGCTTGATTCAGCTCTTTCTTCATAAGAACTAGGAGTCATTGCATTTTAGGAGGATTGTCATTGACCCAAGTGTAATCATGGCTGTGTCAGGTATGTTGATTGCATACAACAGAAAGTGAGACGCTAGCTACCTTGGGTGAAAAGGAGTTTGCTGAAAGGCGGCTGGGGGCCTGTAGAGTTGGCAGGAGCTTGACAGCTGGAGGCAGCATGGAGGCCAAGACCTGGGGACCTCACAGCAGGCAGTCTCTCAGCTGGAACGGAACCGTCTGCCTGGATGCTGCTGCTCCTGAGATGAGTGACCTCCAGCCATTCACCTACTTGCTCAACACCAATTGTTCCAGGGGTCTGATTGGCTGAGCTTAGGTCACATGCCCACTGGCTGTACTGAGGAAGGAGAGGGAGGGTCCAGTCCCCTGGGGCCTGACGTAGTGAATGGCCCTCACCAAGAAGGGTTACAGTCCCACCAAAACTAGAGGGAGAAAGTCTAAAAAGAGTGAAGGATGGAGATGGATTCTGGGTTACATTCCCCTCCAAGAGATTTCTTGGCAACGGCGTCTTTTATTTTTTAAGAATGATTTTATGTGCATTAAAATCTCATTGGAGGCCTTTTGAGCTTCCTTTGCTCGGCCTGCTCCAAACTCTTTGGAGTGTACTTTCTCTTCTAATAATGGCCCTTGAGCCATTCTCTACTGCTCGGGCCCACTTCTGACTTCTTTGAAATATATTTTTACTTCTAATAAACTCCTTTTCTGCAACTTTAAGAAAATAAAAAAATAATAAAATCTCATTGGATCGTCACCAAACTGAGCTGCGAATGTTAGGATGGTGGCAGTCCCAGGACTCATCACAGGTGTCCCAGTGTATAATCCACTGGGCTTGCCACCTGACGTTTGGCCTTGTCTGTCTGAGTTTGGGCTGGTCTTGCTTACAGGTTACATAAGGACGGGCTCAATCTTTCTGGCCCAGACTCAGGACCGGCTGATCTCCCTGAAGCGCATCAACTCAAGGCTGAAGTACGTATGAGGCTACAAGCCTGTCCTGGCTTTGCTGTCACACTGACCTCTGCCGGAAGGCCAGTGAATGTCATTGTCCCCTTGTTTCTGTGGCAGTGTTATAGGCATCCCTTCTGAGATCATCTCCCTCAAGAGAGTGGCCGAACTTCACCCTCTCCTCAATGTACACGACCTGGTGGGGGCCATGCACGTCCCTGAGGATGCGGTAGTGTCCTCCGCCGATGTGTCTCTTGCCCTGGCAAGTGCTGCCTCCCAAAATGGTAAGCAGGTCTTGGGTTAGGAAGGAAGAGGTTATCTAAGACAGTGTCTCCTAATGGGCAGTGACACCAGCTCAGCTTCCATTTTCGAACACTGGCTCTTACCAGTTTTGTTTTAATACAGTATCTGCTAATAAATATTTTTCCCCAAGGCCATGTTAGTTTTATTAACATTCTAAGGAACTGCTTTTAGAACTGATGAGTGCTCTTCAGACTTAAGGGATTCCTCTCCCCCACTGGACTCGACAAGCTCCAAGATTAGCACACACCTGGGGGATTTAATCCCCAGCTCGGATCACGTCCTGGTGTTGGAATGAGAGAAGGGAAGACACATCAGTGTCCACGGTGCTGTGCGCTTTGACTGAGCTGTCATGTTGAGGGTAGATTAGGATTTAAGGTGCCCTGTTTGAACCTTTCTCTCACTGCTCCTTTTATGATTCCTGGACTTTAACTGTGTACTGAAGTCGGTGTTTAAATTGGTTTGACATTTTCCATCTTGGGAAAGTCCCACTTACAGGCCCAGGATGTGGTTCCTAGGAGGTCTTTGTTTTCTTAAATTAAAGCACTGACCGACCAAGCCTTTTCAGTGGTTCTAACGAGTTGAGAATCAGATGCAGATGCCTTGATTCTGGACATCAGAGGATGGAAGCACCAACTCTTTCTTTACCTTGGAACAGGTGTTCAGATCTATGACCGGACAAGTGTTCTTCATGTGATGGTCAAAAAAGGGCAAGTTACTGGTGTGGAGACAGATAAAGGACAGATCGAATGCCAGTATTTTGTCAACTGTGCTGGTCAGGTAGGTTAGCAACAATTGTGGGTCACGGGTTTTCTCATTTAATTTTTTTCTCTGGGATTTTTTGATGTGGAGACTTAAGATTATATAGTGACCGACAAACAGACATCAAGGACCACACCGTTCCTTGTGTGGACTGGCGAACCCAGAGCTCTTGTACTCCCAGTCAGAAACTGGACTCCTCCTCAGATAGAGCCGCGGTGACCCGTTCCTTCCTCCCCCCGGGGGACGTGGAGCTTCCTGTCAGGAGGGCCAGGAGGCAGTTGGGCATTGACACAGATCCTTGGCATTGGGTCTCTCTGTGGTGGTTCATTTCATTCTACAGCCTAGCAAATAAAGTATTAGGGTATTTTATTGTCTCAGGTCCGTGGATTCACTTTCCAGAACACTAAGCTGCTGCTTCTTTTAAGGAAAATTGGTCCCTTCTGTCCACTCAAGTCTTCAGGTGTTCTAGGAATCCTTTCTGTCATGTGAAGGTCATTTATGATTGCTGGGTATTGGGGGTTTGTAGTTGAGGCCAGGCATTTTGTTAAGAGGCCTCATTGGCTCCCCATGAGCTCTCTTTACCTGCTGGCGAATCTGTCTTCCTTTGACCTAAAAGCAAGTTTATGGTTTAAAAAGTACAGTGTTGCTGCCCGTCCCAATAATTACACTAAAGCAGGCTGAAACTTGGCTTCCCACACCTGCCACTGTAGCCAGAGCACCCACAAGCCACTTGAAATTAGACTCTTGTCAAGCGGCTGAACTCGCTCATTTGTCTTTCTGTTCCTCTTCCACCCGCAAATGAATCTGTCCATTTGTAGTGGGCATACGAGCTGGGTCTGTCCAACGAGGAGCCGATTAGTATCCCGTTACATGCCTGCGAACACTTCTACCTTCTGACTCGCCCCTTGGAGACCCCTCTGCAGAGCAACATGCCAAGTGAGGACCTGCACTTTGTTCGTAATCTTGTTTCCTTGCCACTGTTCTGTCCTCTGAAAAGGAAGACTTTCTGCTAAGGACAGACTGTTTCCGAAAGAGGCTCTTCTAGGGCACGTTACAGGGAGGTGGACCCAATTCTAACTTTTCTAACCCAATTCATCCTTTCTTGTGAAAGGGTGGCCACAATGGGTATTCCACTTAAGCAATTATTTTGTATTTGTTTTCTTGCAAGCTGTTATCTCTCCAAACAGGTCTAAATTGTGAATATTTGGAATGTAACCCGGAATTTTTTACCCGAATGCTATACATTATAGAAATGTCATAGCTTTCAACTCAGGGTATTCAGTGACCCCGAGTGTGGTAGGCGGGGGTTTGATACCACTTTGAGGAGGTCTTAACCCCTGGAATGGGCTCGGCAGTCCCCCTTTTCTTAGGCTCTGTGTGGCACAGCGGCAGTTAACGTAGTTTGGTTGTGAAGTCTAGTCAAAGCTCTAGGTAACTCATGGGGCTAGGGATAATCAGAGAAAGTCTCCCCTATAAGTCTGAGAGGAGGAGCCCCCCCCATGACCTGGAAAGGTGTTTTAAGCTAACGAATGCCTGTGTTCATGACATGCTGTTTCGTTAATAAAGCAGGTAGTGGGTGTTTTTGCTTTGCTTTTTCTGTCCACTTAAAAAGCTGGCTTCTCTCTAAACCCTGTTTTTCTCCTCTACTCCCCATTCCCTTGTCATTTTTCTTCTCAGCTATTGTGGATGCTGATGGAAGAATTTATATTCGGAACTGGCAGGGTGGCATCTTGTCTGGGGGCTTTGAGAAGACCCCGAAACCAATTTTCACTGAGGGCAAGAACCAGCTGGAGATTCAGAATCTACAGGAAGACTGGGATCACTTTGGTGTGTGAACTAGATAACAACAATGCCTCCTTATTTTTGTCTAAGATGTTGTTGCATTTTCCAAAGCATTTTCAAGAATAGCACCTGATTTGATCTTTGTAACAGCCCCACTTGGAGGTTACAGAGGGCGGAGTACAGAGTTTGCCTGCTCTCAGGACATAGTTACTGGGTGGCAGATTCAGGGGACTAGGTCTTGGGTGATGGACTTTTTTGGCTTAATACTTATTCACCTAAAATCACTGCTGAAAATTAGGCCAGGAGGAAACCTCTTCCTAGGATTTCAAACAGGACTGAAGAAATTTTTAGAAAGCAGCCTTGTTTTGTTAGTATGGTCTATTACTCAATTTAAAAATAATTTTATTTATTGACTAGTTAATATGGTCACATGGCTCTGAATTCAAAAGCTATGCAAAGGTCTGTAATGAAGAGTTTCCTTTTTGGCCCTTAATGGACTTTTAAAAATAAACGTTTTATTGTGAGAAATTTCAAACTTCTAAAAGTGGAGAAAATAGCATAACGATACCCCATGTGCCCACCGGCCAGCTTCAGTCTGGTGTCCTCTGTTACCACTGTGCCCGGATTCCTCCTAGATGAA